ATCAAGGCTTAAGTTGAAAAAAGTGTCAACTATTTATATCAGACATTTAAAGTTATTTGATAAGACTTATTTGCTTTTTTGTGCTAACAATACTTTAAACAGCTGTAAATGTGTTTTCCTTTTAATGATTTCAAAGACAAAGAGCGTTTTAATCAGATTACTGCACTAAAGTTATTTGAAGGTTGGTTAATCATGAAAATTAATGCTTACAGTACCACTATAGTAACAGGTATGTTTATTTATTTTAAATAAACATTGCCTATTTGATCAGTGAAAAAGTTCAACAAATCCATCACTGCATTGTAAAGTTAACAATGGAAATTTACCATTATTTCTTATTTTTAATTGAGTCATAATAGGATTATAACTCTGATAATGTAAGATTGCACTGTGCTGATGAAATAATTCACAATTACGGAAAAACAAATTAATGTAAGATTTTGGGAAATAACGCAGCCACTACCACGACTGTATCACTGAGTGTAATTTAAAACTTGGGCTGATTCAAGAGTGCATAATTCCAAAGAAAACCTTCTTTTGTTGTATGCTAATTGGAATGTGAACCTTAAGGAGCAGTCTTGGGAGTTTAAATTTGTATAGTCACTACAGAAGTTTGTAGAAAATATTAAAGTAATGCAGACATTCAAGAAATGCCCAGTCAAGGTACTGATGGGTGAGATTTTCCTTCACAAAATTGGGCACAGTTTGGAAGAAAACAAAATAATAAATGAAAAGTAAAGTCCCACAGCCTCATTCATCCCCCACCCCACCAGTATTACAGTTCACTGTTTATTAGTTGTAGACAAGCTCACAACATTAAGGGGCGAGACTCAGATTTTCTTTTACTCATTTATTTATGGGATGCATGACTGTCAAAGTTAGATTTTTTTTTTGCCCATCTCTAGTTGTACTTCAAATAGTTGTGGTGAGTCTCCATTATAAACTAGGGCACTCCATATTGAGTAGGTAGACCCATAGTCCTGTTAGAGAGTACAGTCCATGATTTTGACTCTGGACAATGAAGAAACAGTGATATAGTTTCAAATTGGGATGGAATGTGACTTGAAGGAAAAATTAGAGGTGATGATATCCTTTGTGTCTGCTTCCCTTGTCAATCAACGTGATAGAGGTTACAGGTTTGGGAGGGGCTGTCGAGAACATTCAGTGAATTGCTGCAATACATCTCATAGATGTTGCAGATTATAGACCTGCTGTATCTGTGATAGAGGAAGTGAACACTTCAGATAAAGGGGGAAATAAGAGATTCACTTTAAAAATAAAAACATTCTTGCCAATGGTTGTTATTCTTGAAGATAAACAAAAAAATGAAGTCAAGAATGTTCTGAAGTTTGTTAATCTGATGTTTTTGCTTGTGTAGTGAAGTCAGTAACAATGGACAGATGTCTCTGGGGTCTTGGAAAACACAGTGTGCTCAGGTAATGCAATATTGATGAGAAGTTCTTTCAGTCACTCTTCCAGAAGAGCAGAGATAACAAGGTGTAGAGCTGGATGAACACAGCAGGCCAAGCAGCATCATAGGAGCAGGAAGGCTGACGTTTCGGGCCTAGACCCTTCCAGCATCTGCAGTTCCTACTATCTCTTCCAGAAGAGCACTTGGGTTTCAGCTTGATCACACGGAGAAAGTGTTTCAGAAACAGGAGACGCAAATTGAGCAGTAGCAAGCTTTCTTTAATTGAAAATCAAAACATAAATTCCAAACCTACAAACACTGTTCTAACAAAACAGCCATAAAACCCAGGTGTAAAATAGTAAGGTGATTTCCCTATAGTGATTTCAATCAACCAAGATCAGCAATTATCTTGGACCACGAGGTTTCATTGTTTGAAAAAAAAATTTCAGTAACTTTTCAGCAACATTTAAAAAAGAAATCCAGACATTGCCACGGCCACATTTTGTTTCCAAATACGAACTAATTTATAAGTCTACTGCACAAAATAAAATCTCATCAGAATCAAGTACAGTGAGACAGACTTGGCTGTAGCAGGACCTCTAATGACTGGTACTTGCCCTGAGAATGTCTGATTGATGAAACTGAAGAACCAGCTGTGAACTTAACACAATAAGGTTAGAGAAGGAAATGTAAATCAAAAAGAATGAATTCATTGTTCACTCCAGTTACAGGGAGAGAAGTAGAAATACAAAGAAAGTTTGCATTAAGATAGAAGAAGACATAGCAAGTAAAGTATTTTTTAAAAATTATATGAAATTTACATCATTTAGAACAAGTGACCACGGTTGCAACATTTTCATAATAAAAAAATGGACTACCTACGTTACCACATATTGATCATTAAAAGAGCACTTAGACTGGAATCGACAAGACTTTTTTGTGACGAATTTAGTTTGTATTTATCATGTATTATGGCACGTCAAAACAATTCTCAATACATTCAATTGGTAAGGCAGACAGTGGGGTGTTGTTTTAAGGCAGCAAGATTTGTATTGCCACATTTAAATGTTTTTCAACATTTGTGCATGAGTAACAATGGCATCAGGTCATCAAATTTCAGGTCATTGTCTTAGATACATTAATTCATTTCAAAGTGTAGTATTGCATTATAGACAATTTTGAGAAGAATGTTTCAACTTCTGTTACTTTTTATTACAGATAAAGGACAAAGTTTGCTTTTGGAGGCTAAAATTACAAAACAAAACTGCAATTTCTCTACAAATTCTGAATTCTATACAGACTAACAAAATTATTATAGTGAATTCTTATTTGAATCAAATATATTATTTCTGTGCTTGCAGATGTATAAAATTGAGCACTGAAAATCACAAAGTAATTGACGAAAGGATAACTGTTTCCAAATGCTGCAGACCAATATTGGAGATATCACCATGATTGTGAAAACTATATAGTAACAACAGGAACAAAATAATTCCTCTTAAATTTTTGTACGTACTCAATGCAAGTGACAATGTTACTGTAACTGTTGGTCAGCAAAAATAAAGCACGCACGGAATTGCAAAGTGACTGGTCTGTCACTGTCATCTATTTATCCTCTATTGCCTCATCCCTCCCTTTCTATGCAACCACTTCCATCCAAGAGATGGTGGGAGTGAAGGAAGAGTGGACCCAAGTGTTACAGAGGGAACAATCCTTGTACAATGCTGACAGGGGAGGAGAGGGGAAGATTGGTGGTGGAAATGGCAGAGAACGATCCTTTGAATGCAGAGGCTAGTGACGACAAGACAAAACCAATAATTTGTGTCCAAAAGAATAATCATGATGATCATGACCTCTCACTTGAGACTTACATTGTGTAACTATGTCAGGTGGTAGTCCAGATATATTTAAACGATGCTGATGCCTCAAAATGGGCCTCGTCTTTTCAATGTAACAATGGATAAGCAGTGGTTACACCCTGCCAGTCAACAACCAACAGTTAAAATCTACCCAATTTAATTTGGTTATGCTTACAGTTATTCTTCTATCAATTAATGTTCAAGCTTTTTTTCCTATGGATTGATGAAGAGAGCATTCAAACGGAGTTCTATGCATTAGTCTGTGCATTTTTGATTGGCATTATAATAGTCAAGTTTATTTTGCTCAAATCTTTCTGTACTTTAAGAGACCACGGTTAATCTAATAGAACAAATATTAAGTTAAATGTTACAATTTTAGTTTGTCTAATATTGCACTATCTAACATAGAATTTCTTTACCTATCAATCAGGTAAAATTCATGCCCATGTCCTTTGCTGCCAAGTTTTTCTTTCAATGCTTTTCATTCACTGGGTTGGGCACTGTCACTATCTATTACCATAGTGGTGTGTCTTGGAAGAGGTTGTCATAAGATTTTCTCTTCATAGATGCTGCCAGACCTACTGAGTTTTTCCAGCAACTTCTGTTTTGTTCCTGATTTACAGCATCTGCAGTTCTTTCAGCTTTATTTAGGTCAGAGGAAATTATTTGCTTTCTTTCCTATTAAAATATTAGAGGTAAAATTCAAAACCCCCCCAAACTAATGCTAGGTTCAAAATGTGGAATTAGTCCCTCTACTTGTTCCTGGTTCTGGCAGCCTGCCAACTTTGTTCTGTCTTCCTGTCTTCAAATTGTCAAGATTGCAGGGTGAAGCCAGAAATATTAGTGCTGTTGAGTGGTTGCAGGACCCAGTGGGGGCTTTAAAATCATTATTAATTCCAGCCAGCACCTCTTTAAAGAAAGGTGTATTTTGCTTGGTGCTAGAACTGACTCTAACCTGGAAAAAAACAAAAGAATGAGAGAGAGGGCTCCAAAATTTCCAATATCTACACTCACAGAAAGCAGTGGGACCAGCTGTGATGGTCAATGCTTATAGTCGAGACTTGAGGAAATGGGTGCACTTGCACAAAACATTTCTGACCCCACAGGAGCATTAAGATCGGTGAATGTATTTTCAAACACCATATCCCATAAGCTACACTAACAAACTCTCACTGTTCAATGTGCTACACTTTACTTTGTCACTTACCAAATATTGCTAGCAATCAAGGGCTTACGTATTACATTTCCAACATCATCTCACCCACAAAGAAAGGGTGGGCCTTGTCTTGGACATCTTGCTTGAGATCACACTTTATCAGCAAGAGGAGGGCTTAGCTTGTTGTGCAATTTATTTTAATAATGGTGGAAGAGTATATTTTAGGACAACATTGCAGTACCTTGTTTTCAATAAGATTGAGTAGAATCAGCTGCTACAGAAGAGAGGGTCTCATTCCCCAGCTCTGCCTCTAGACCTCCTGCAGCACTACCTCTTTCACAATCCCAAAGCCAAATCAACTTCCTGGTTATTGTGTGTTAACCAGTCTCTCCAGACTGTGACAGGAAGTAGAGTTGTGGAGTTCACACAGCCTCCTACATGAAAATTGCGTCTGATCAGCAGCACTGCAGCCATTTTGAGGTTTTAGAGGCTATGGGGAAATTCAGATGATAGTAATCAACAATCAGGCCCAAAATTGTATGCTAAATCTGAATTTTCTAGAAGTTGTGTCTTATCAGAAGTAAAAGTAAAGTCACTATAGCCCTAGTAGACCACAGAACTGCTCTTCCATTCGAGAGAGATGGTGGTTCAACCTGAAGGCCATGACACTACAGGCAAGGAGAGCCTTTCATAGCAATTTCAGCAGCTACTGAATCCATACTATTGGCGTCGCACTGCATAATAAACCAGCCATCAACCAACAGAGCTAACCAACCCCTCATCAGAAGAGCATCTATCTGGTAAACATTTCCATCCTAACCCCACCCCCCCCAGAAATACAGAGCAGCAAGGTCACAAGGCCATGTAGGACTTTCATAGAAAACAAATCAACATTCTATCTCCTTAACACCATGCATTAACCATCCACCAATCTGTTCAACTTGAGGTTGATCATTAGGTAGGTTTGAGAGTGGTGTGCAATAACTTGCTTGTTGTTTTTCTGACCTTTTGGCAAAGTGCCTAATCCCACTATTAGTCTTCTTAATGGCTGGAATAGTCCGCATCGTATAATATCTTGCTACAAAGGTTTCACCATCACATTTACCTCTTCTTATTTTTGTACATTGTATCAGATGAGGTTGGTATTTCATTTCAAGCTTTCTTCTATTGGATCCTGAACTTGTGTGGTTACCCATATTATAAGCTAAATAGTGTCTGTGAACAAGGAACACATTGACAGTTATTATTAGTTTAATTTCAGCATTGCAGTATAGCTGCTGTGTTATTACCAAATAATCTGGCTCACAGAGTTCTTGATTCACTCATGACTCATTCATTACAGTATTGCTTAACTGGGTCCACTAGTACGGATACAGAAAAAGAGAAGTATGCAAATCTTGGACTTTCCAACATGGGTTCATGCCTTTACAGCATACAGAAAAACAACTTCTGTTTTATTGCATAATTAGATCAAGACACTAATACTGCTCAGGGTGTATGATTTATTCCCATTAATCTAATGCCTTACATATATTATTCATAATCACTTAGAAATATCAACATCAGAAATTCAATTTATAATATGAGAGCAAGTTTAAGAATTAACTCTCAGATTCACATGTAAACTATGAAATTTCTTTTAAAAAAAACTCTAAAACACTTATATGAGTCTTGACATGAGAATCACATGAAGGTAGTTTTCAGTAGACTAATCAATATTGCACATTCATTGCCTGTACAGTAACACTGTAAATTGAAGACTAGGTAGTTCAGTGCTCAAGGTCCAAAAATCCTTTCGGGTTTCATCGGTTCTACTTCAGTCTCTTCAAATTCAGGAGCCCACAGGTTTTTCATCAATCGGACCTTTGTCACCCATAAGTTTCTGCAGTAAGAGATCATCTCTGCTGACCTTCCACAAGAAGTGACAAGATTTCTGAAGGAACAAAAGGGGTGAAGTCATAAAAGATGGAATATATCTTTCTGGTGTGCCTGAATAACAATGAAACAGAAACAGCAAATATAACAAACTCACAAGATGATATTGACATTTTACTTGCTGGTTCAAAAATAATATAATTTTGGAATTTCTTACGAAATTGCATCATGACACTATGCATCCGTGCTATACATCAATATTGTGTCATTGAAAGCCCAGAAAATTGCAGCATAAGTGATTTATGCTTCACGTTTACCAAACCCCTCGTTCAAAGTTAATTACATTGGATTAGACGTTGCTGGAATATGATCAGTTACAATTTTTCCTCATACTTTAGCTGGAACATAAATTGCACCACAAACAGCTGGGAATGCATGTTAATAACAGAGCAGCAAGGGCACGAGAGCATGTAAGACTTTCATAAATGACAAAGTAACAGTCTATCTCCTTAAGCCCCAGTACAAAGTAAGGGCTGCTAAAGAAATAGGATGCATTGGATAAATTGGATGCACAAAGAGAAATAAACAGAAGGTAAGAAGAAGGAAAATAAGAAAAAGGAAAAATAGCAAAACAAACATTAAAATTAAAAATGTTATAAAATCTAGGAATAATTCTCTACCCAAAGGAATGAGACTCATCATCAATTGCTGCTTTTCTGGGTCTCTAAGGTTGAATAATATTGTGGAACCATGGATCTTGTATTAAAAGAGGCCTTGTGTCACTAAATAGCAATGCTAACTTTTGTGGCTATTTCAGTTCATTCTGTCTGTGTAAATGCAGTATTTTTCATCACTATTTGGAAGCTTGGTAACAATCTTTTGAAACAATTTCAGTGTCAAATTTGTATGAATTGCACTAATAAGTTAGCTATTTATTTTGCTTTGTCGAATACCTCTTTCTCCAATTAGACTTCATCAGTGGCTTATGTGTAATACAATTAATGAGTGATGTGTTGTATTATAGGAAAGGCTGGAAAATAACGCATTATTGCAGATCATCTTATTCAAATTATTATACCTGAAGAAATATTTACAGTGACTGACACAATGTTTTGAATCCATAGAAAGTGTGATATTTTAATATTTTCCTGTCTAAAGCAGCTATTCTACCAGGAATTTCTGGAGAACCTATGGTGTATGTGTATTTTGTACAAGAAAAGTTTTAATGTTTATATCCAGACAGCACTTGTAAATTGTATTCATTAAATAACTCTTTTTGTGATAAACGAAAGGTTTTTTCAGTGTATTAATTCAAAATAGTCATAACTATTGACTGCTTGAACCACGCTTACAGATAGGATTCCCTTTCCATTTCTAATGCCTAGCTAGGCTTGCCATTGTCAACTGGGAGCAAGTGGCTAACAGAATCAGAGATGTTCATGGCACGGAAGGAGAGCATTCATCCTATCCTGACTCTGCCTACCAAATAAATAGCTATCCAGCCTCATCTCTGCTTTTAGCTCTTCATTGTTAAACATGTTGGTTATGGCATTTCAAGTGCATATCTACTTACTCTGCAAATGCACTCAGGACTACTGTCACTATGAAGTTCAAAACTGATACACCATCTGGGTGAAAAGATTACTTCTCAACTTCTCTTTAATCCTCTATCAATTACATTGCAAGTGAGATATGTCTTTCCCACCACTCTATCTAGGGTTTACACAAAGTCATACGCCTCAATTAAATTTTCCCTCAGGCTCTTTTGTTCATAGAAAACAGCTCTTGCATTCTTTTCTCATAATTTTCTGGTCCTGGCAAAATTCTCATAAATGTCCTCTGTACCTTCTCTAATACATTCATACTCTTTCTATGTTGTGATGACTAGAACTGTATGCAGTATTCTAAACATAGCCTCTCAATTTTATACACATCTAGTGTATACTCCCTGCTCTTACATTCTATGCCTCAGCTAATAAAGGAGAATCATTTAGATCTCTCCTTAGCCAACTTATCCATTTGTACTGCTTCAAGATTCAATTGACATTTACTCCAAGGTTCCTCTGTTCTTCTAAATTTCTCAGTATTCTTTCCATTTATTGTGTATTCCTTTAGTTATATGCTCTTCTAAAATGCATTCATTACTTCACACTTGAGAGTCATAGAGTTATACAGCATGGAAACAGATCTTTTGGTCCAACTTGTCTGCACCGACCAGACATCCCAATCTGACGTAGTCCCATTTGCTAGCATTTGGCCCATATCCCTCTGGAACCTTACTATTCATATACCCATCCAGATGCCTTTTAAATGTTGTAATTGTACCTGCCTCCACCACTTCCTCCAGCAGCTTGTTCCATGCACACACCACCATATGCATGAAAATGTTGCCCCTCAGGTGCTTTTTAAATCTTTCCCCTCTCACCTTAAATCTATGCCCTCTAGTTTTAGACACCCCCGTCTAGGAAAAAGACCTTGGCTATTCACCCTATCCCTGCCCCTCACGATCTTATAAACCTCTGTAAGATCACCCTCAGTCTCCGATGCTCCATCGAAGAAAGCCCCAGCCTATAACTCAAACCCTCCAGTCCCGGCAACATCTTTGTAAATCTTTTCTGCACCCTCTCAAGTGTAACAACATCCTTCATCGAAAAAGGTGACCAGAACTGTATGCAGTATTGGCCTCACCAATATCCTGTACAGCCCTAATATGACATCCCAACTCCTGATACTCAATGTTCTGACCAATGAAGGCAAGTGTGCCAAACATCTTCTTCGCCACCCTGTCTATCTCCAATTCCACTTTCAAGGAACTATGTGGTCTCTCTATGCGGTTTCTCTTCATCTAGGTCTCTTTGTTCAGCAACACTCCAGTGCCCTACCAGTAACTGTATAAATCCTGCTCTGGTTTGCCTTACCAAAATTCAACACCTCACACTTATCTAAATTAATCTCCATCTGCCACCCCTCATCCCTTTGGCCCATCTGATCAAGGACCCATTGTACTCCAAGATAATCTTCCTCACTGCCCACTGCACTAACAATTTTGGTGTCATTTGCAAACTTATTAATCATACCTCCTCCTATATCCGCATCCAAATCCTTTATATAAATGACAAAAAGCTATGGACCCAGCACTGATCTTTGTTGCACATTGCTGGTCTCAAGTCTTTGGTCCAAAAAGCAACCCTCTGTCGCCAGCTTCAAGCCAATTTTGTATCCAATTAGCTTGCTCCCCCTGGATCCTATGTGATCTAACCTTCCTAACCAGCCTGCCATGTGGAACCTTGTCAAATCTCTCAGTACAAGTTCTATTTTCCTAATTTAACTTTAACTAATTGAGATAAACCACAAAAATGATAGGATGTATTACTGAACAAACTGGAAGCAAACTTCTGGTCACAAAAGCAGCCTTTGCTGCCTACCCCCAGTGAGCCAATTTTGGACCTCACACCAAAAACTGAAATAAACCAGCCATTTAAATATTAATATTGTCAGATCGGGTTAAAAGTTGGGAATTCTTTTTTTTCTTGTTTATGCATTCATGGGATGAGGGCGTCACTGGCTAGGCCAGCATTTATTGCCCATCCCTGGTTGCCCACAGGGCAGTTACAAGTCAACCACATTGCTGTGGGTCTGGAGTTGCATGTAGGCCAGACCAAGTAAGGATAGCAGTTTCCTTCATTGGTGAACCTGATGGGCTTTTCCTGACAATCAGCAATGGTTTCATGGTCATCATTAGACTCTTAATTCCAGATATTTATTGAATTCAAATTCCACCATCTGCCATGGTGGGATTTGAACCCAGATCCCCAGATCATTACCTGGATCTCTGGATTAACAGTCCAGCAATAATACCACTCGGCCAACACCTCCCTGCAGTAGCTCATCTCATAACTGCCCAAAACTTGTTTGTCTACTATCTAGGAGTCAGGAGTATGATAGAATATCTTCCACTTATCTGGATGGTTCCAGAATCTTGAAAGCACCCAGGACAAAGTAACACACTTGACTGGCACCCCACCCACCACCTTAAACATTTACTGTTCCAACACACAGTGGCAGCAGTGTGAACAATCTGCAAGATGCATGCAGCAACTCACTCGGCTTCCTTCAAGAGTACCTTCCAAACCTACAGTCTCTGCCACTTAGAAGGACAAAGACAGCACCTTACATGGGAACATCACCATCTGCAAGTTCCTCTCCAAGTCACATGAATCCTGACTCTCTCTTCACCCAGTGGAGACCATAATACCAGAGTTTGCCACCTGGGTTGCAGCAGTCTCAGCCCTCTGTATTAATGCTCAACTCTACAGTAAACAGGTCAGTGACCTTCTCCACTCTGCCCGTGTAAGTGCCACCATCTTCTCTCCGATATCTTCCTTTCGTTCAATCTGTGATCCTGTACCCACCTGCCACCAAGGCTCTACAAATCTCTCTAGCACCTGCAACATCTTCCCTCACTCACTATAACCCATCACCAACCTCTAATGCCATTATCCCTGCGAACCTGCATTTCCAACTCACTCGAGATATCTCCCCACCTGTACCAACAGTAATAGCTGTGTTACCCACTTTCATCTTCTTTAATTCCAGCCTCTCTCTCATTCTGGGCAGAAAGAGTCAAGACAGGTGGTGGGCTGCACCTCAACCCTTATCTGGAAGGAGCCCTGACTCTGATAACCCTGGACTGATAACAGAGGTAACTTGACGTTCTGTGTCAGTCTCCCTGGCTGAAGGCTAAGCCTCTTGTCTGAGGCCTGATGACAATTGTGACAAGCAGCTCAGAGTGAGTGAGCATTATGACAGCGGGTGGAGATCCCAGAAAAGCAGCCTGGTCTAGTCCATGAGCTGGGTGCATGTCCATGAGCATATCATGTCCTTGCTGCAGTACTACAATTATAACTGCTGGTGCAGCCTGAGTTGCAGCACTGTAGTGTAGAAATGTCTTCGAAGTGAATCACAGATATGCCATGAGTTTTCTAGTGGAAAGCAGAAAAGATGGCTCAAGATTGCGCTCAACATCAAAATGGGCCTCACCACATTTGTCACCAATTC